CCAAGCCCAATCAATCTGTCACAATGCATTTCCCACAAATATCCGGCTCTGAATGGCCCAAATCTAGCCAAAAGCAATTACATATCATAAATACAACCATAATAGACTCATCTAATTAATGAAATCAACATTTAAACAAAAATTTTGAAATTAATTCAAAATTCGCTTGTGGGGCACACGTCTCGGAATCGGGTAAAAGTCACAAAATACGAATACACATTCACTCACGAGTCTAACCATATATAAATTACTCAAATCCGACCACAAATCCCCTTTCAAAATTTAAAATCTTTGTTGAAGAAGTTCTTCAAAAAAATTCCAAATTTCAACCCCAAAATCCGAAATTAAATGATGAAATCAACCATAGATTAGTGGAATATAACCATAAAGGAGTTAGGAATCATTACCCAAAAACTTCCTCCGAAAATCTCTCCAAATTTCGATTTCTACCGAGCTCTCAATCAAATTTTGAGTTATGAACCAAAAACCCTCGATTTTGAACTATTATTCTGCCCGAGATATTTTTCCTTAATCATGATCGCAGAAACACCCTCGCGATCGCGAAGAACAACTTCGTTGCCCCATTATTTTACTCTACGGGAACGCGTAACTCTTCATGTGAACGCGATGAAATAGCTCCTCAGACTTACGCGATCGCGAAGAACAACCCCAAATTTCATTGCTGCCTTATTTCTTCTTCGCGAACGCGGCCTAATCCACGCGTACCATTCTTGGCCAACGCGAAGAGATAACCCAGCTGGTCTCCCAATTACTCTACGCGATCGCGAGCCTTCTCACGCGATCGCGATGAAGGAAACCAGCTGCAGAACACCAACAAACACTGCCAACTCCTTAAGTCTAAAAATGACCCGTTGAGCATCCGAAACACGCCCGAGGCCCCCGGGACCCCAACCTAACACACCGACCAATCCTAAAACACGATACGAACTTAGTCGAGCCCTCAATCACATCAAACAAAACTAAAAATCGCGAATCACCCTCCAATTCAAATCTTAAGAACTTGAAACTTTAACATTCTATAACCGATGCCGAAACCAACCAAACCACGTCTGATTGACCCCAAATTTTGCACATAAGTCATATTCAATACTACGGACCTACTCCAACTTTCGAAATCGGTTTTCAACCCCGATATCAAAATTTCCACTACTGGTCCAAAACTCCAAAATTTCAACTTTCGCCATTTCAAGCCTAAATGAGCTACGGGCCCCCAAAACACATTCCGGGCACGCCCCTAAGCCCAAAATCACCCAACGGAGCTAACAAAATCGACAAAAATTCCATTCCGGAACCGTCTTCACACAGTTGTGACTACGGTCAAAATTCTAAGATTTAAGCTCTCATTTAGGGATTAAGTGTCCCAAAATACTCTGAAACTCAAAACCAATCATGCCGACAAGTCACAATAGCAGAAATAGATATGGGAAAAGTAATTAATAGGGGTTCGGGGCTCTAACTCTCTAAAACGACCGGTCGGGTCGTTACAAGTCATAAATGACACAACAGACCTATTTCAAGTTCCGGAATTGGAATCCAACCCCGATATCAATAAAGTTAACTCCCGGTTAAACTTCTCAACCTTTCAAACCTTCAACTTTCTAACTTTCGCCAAAATACATCAAATCAACCTACAGACCTCCAAATCCCAATCCAGACACACGCCTAAGTCCAAAATCACCATACGAAACTATTGGAATCATTAAAACACCATTCCGACATTGTCTACACAAAAGTCAAACTCCGGTCAACTATTTTCACTTAAGCTTCTAAAACTAAAATTGTCTTTCCAAATAAATTCTGAATCATCTGAAAACCGAGCTCAGCCGCACCCGCAAGTCATACATAATACGAAGCTGCTCGAGACCTTAAGCCACTGAACGAGACGCTAATTCTCAAAACGACTGATCGATCGTTACAATTTTGGGTATTAAATCGTGTATTGGATTATTAAAATTCAAAGAACAAATTTATATTTTAGAACTTAAGATTTGAAATCTGAAGTTGCATTCAATAGATTGAACTACCTAAGATTCGAATTTTTTAAGTTGCATTTGAAAGATGGAAGAACTTCAAATTTGATTTGTGAAGTTGTGTTGAAGAGATTGAACTATTTCAGATTCTAATTTCTGAAGTTGCATTTGAAAAATAGAAGAATTTCATATTTAATTTCTGAATCTGCATTGAAGAGATTGAACTACTTGAGATCCGAACGAATATACTTTATAAAATTTTGTGCAATACGGATATAACTTCAATCGTGGCACCAAAAGTAAATATATATGAAAATGCTCCGTCATTTCTCTTAAGTTCGCTACATATGGATTTCTCACGACAAAACTGTGTCATAATCACACGACAAGAATTAGGAAGAAAGTGCGGCCATTTTGCTTGGACTAATGGACGGCCTAAATTAGTCTTTTTTTGACGTTTTCTTTAATTTGCCGGATTTTTATCTAAGAATCACTAATCTAGACCCAGTCCAAGCAATAATCAGCCATTCCTTAATTCATTAAATTTTTAAGATTTAAGTTGTAAGCTTTTTAAGATTTAAGGTGTAAGCTTTGTATTCTAACCAAGTTATTGCTAATCTAATGGATTTAATCAGGAAAGTAAAACTTAAAATGGAAGTTAACTCTCTAACTGAAAAGGATATAATTTTCTAATAATAAATCACAAATTCCATTTATTTCTTCCGTCCGTGGCTGGCCTATCCTATTAGTTCCTTGGGAACTTGAACTTTATATTATTGAGGTCACAAGTGCTGTGGTTTGTAGTAATACCCGAAGGTTGACTCATTTTCATTGGTATTCTTGTCTTAACTAAAATGAAACTGAGCTGTCTCAAATAAGTGATTTTAAATGTCTAAAACTAATTTTTTTTTTAAATTAAAAAAAAATATAGTGACATGAAGTCACGAACGAGCCAAGTCAAATGCTCACATTATGTATATGATAATGTCACGCATTACGCAACCAACTTAAGATGATATGATTATCCTAGATTAAAATAACTAGTACCCTTATAACATACCTAGCCAGACCAAGTAAAAATAAAAATAATTAAAAAGAAAACTTCAATGTTTTAGTGTTAAAAGCAAAAGAATTCTATTGCAATGAGCATGGTCAAATACTTTGAACGTCTACGTGATGTATGTTGAAAAAATAAATGTGACTGATTCCTTTAGACTTACTGATATAGTTAACAAAGATGTAGACCTAATCTAAATAACAGTAATCGTGATGTTATCAAAATTGAACCGGTGACATTGCGCTTCCAATTGCGATTCCTTCAAAACAAAATGAGACTGATTCATTGCAACCCTTTTTTATTATTTCAGCTCTACGCTATTGTTCTTGCTTTTTTTTACACACTAGTTTCAGCATACGTGATTGCACATGTGTATTGTATGGGGTAAAATTGGTTGATGATAGCCGGACAAATGATGAAGTGACACGTGACACTAAAGACAGGTGAGATGTGAGTCAGCGAACAGCTGGCACCGGATGCAAGCGAGCAATCAGTGCTGAACAAGTCTCGAAGACAGAGCAGCCGGTAACAAAGATTTGCAACCTTGTCATCAGGTAACATTCATTGGACAGCCATTACAGAGAATATCTGCATTTAAAGCCAACCGTTATGCACCCATCAATAACGATTTTATTCTCATTCAATAGGATCTTGATTTGAGGATCTTGTTTCTTTGAATCGGGCTATAAATAGAAGGGTTAACAGCCATTGTAGACACAAGAAACTCTATACACAAAAAGCTATAAACTATTGTCTTATTAAGCTCAGTTTAAACACTTGAACATTGCATTCATTCTTGTCATCGAAAAGACTAAGTTCTTAGTTAGGATTGTTATCTCTTCTAATTGCATTTGATAATCTTATCCTTGTTCTCATTTACTTATCATTTTTGGGTCAGATCGATTCGCTTGTCTATAAATCACGCTATAAATTCAACTGTACCATTTTATGGTAAACAGTTTGGCGTCGACCGTGAGGCATAGACAGCCGCGTAATTGCTTTGATCCATTCATTTGTTACTAATAAGTTTTGACCCTTTCCTTAGTGAAAATCAAATATGGAAGCTAATGATGTCAACAACGCTTACAATGTTGGAGCACACGATGAACGGGAAGATGTGTTCCAGCATCATGATTCAACCAGCGAAACCCATAATGAAGAGGATGAAGCGACCCCGGTTTGCGAAGGACAATATCCTCGGCATGTGCGTGGCTAGACTCCTGATGACACAGAGGACGAGCATGTTGTCGAAACGGTCAAGATCTTGAGATAATAACAAAAGGCGATTATGGATCACCTTTCAAGGCAATATCGTGTGATGACGGAATTGAAGCAAGCGTTATCGAGTGCTTCCAATAATGCCAATGGAAGGGCACTGGTTCCTCCCAGTGTTCCCACAAATCAGTTGGCTCAAAGAACCGATAACAACACTCCAAGGAATGAAGTCATTTTCGACGAAGCTGGAGGGACCGGAAGCAGATCTGCGAATAACAACTTGGATAACCCTTTCAAATCCGTGCTCGTGAGATTCATGAGAGAACTGAATGAATGAATGGACCAGAACGCGAAGGAGTTCGTGCTCGGATGGATCAGATCCAGGCGTGTCGCCGGTGTTAAAAAGACCAGATTCGAGGAAGTACATGTAGTTGTCGTTTAAACCAAGCGCGACACTGGAGCAGATCCTAAAGAGGTATAAGATGTCGGGTATCCCAAAGTATAATGGGACATCTGACCCACAAGAGCACATCACGACCTACACTACGACGGTAAAAGGAAACGACCTGGCTGAGCACGAGATCAAGCCGGTTTTGTTGAAAATGTTTGGCGAAACCCTCACGAAGGGTGCCCTGACATGGTATTCTCTCTTGCCAGAACATTTAATCGATTCTTTCAAAACGCTTGCAGATTCGTTCATCAAAGCGCATGTAGAGCAATAAAGGTCCAGGCCAAAAATGTGGAAATATTCAGAATTTCGCAAGGAGAATCCGAGCTGCTGCGGAATTTGTGATCTTGTTCCAGTAAAAATGAAGGTTTTACCAGTAGTTCCGGACGAAAGGGCAACAGAGGCATTTACAAAGGGCCTCAATTCGTTGAATTCCAATGCCTCCCAAAAATTGAAGGGGAGCTTGCTCGAGTTTTAGGCAACCACATGGGCAGATGTTCACAATCGCTACGAGTCGAAGATAAGGATAGAAGATGATCAACTTGGCTCTTCGGCATCCTCCAAGTGACGGAGTTGCGATAGGAATCAGGATAAGTTTAAAACTGACTTTGATACAAATCGGATGTCCTCTAAGGTTCGTTTTCTACCTTACGAGAGGACCGATGGGTGTAGCAGTAAAGGATTCCAGTCATCGGATAGGTTTAATTCCGATAGAAGGATGGATTATGGCCGGAATAACATATCGTTGCAAGAGAAAGAGGTGTCGGGGTACCGAGATCTTGTATATCCTAGGTTATCAGATTACAATTTTAATATCAGCCTAGTAGAGTTGGTGTCGGCAATGAGAAATATTAAAGATGTTAGGTTCCTAAAACTGATTCGGTCGGATCCTAGCCAAAGGGATCCCGATCTATGGTGTGAATTCCATGGGAATCACGGCCATAGGACTGGGGACTGACGACATCTTCATGAATATGTGGCAACGCTATTAAAGAATGCACACCTTAGAGAATTTCTAAGCGATCGCGCCAAGAACAACAATGGTAGAAACCAGGATAATGCGGAGCCATCGAAGCCGGCAACAGGGTCACGTCGAATGATAATCAATATGATCTTCGGAGGGGACGAAGTCAATGCGGTGACATTTTCCACAGCAAAGAAAATGATGATATTAGTGACTCATGGCAAGAGGATCCGGGAGGTCTCGAAAGATGACATCACCTTCATAAAAGGAGATGTTGATGGACTTCTTTTGCCGCACAATGACGCGCTTGTAATTTCACTTAATGTTTTAGATTTCAAAATTAAGCGTGTTTTGGTTGATCTAGGAAGTTTGGCCAATATCATACAATGAAGAGTTTTGGAACAAGCGAAATTAACCGAGAACATCATTCCGACGACGAAGCTTCTGGCTGGCTTCAACTTAACAAGCGCGACTACCCGATAAGAAATTTTACTACCCACGCATCCCAAAGGAGTAATAAATCCCACCATGTTCGAAGTGGTAGATGGCGACATGGGCTATAATGTGATCCTCGGAAGGCCATGGATACACGAGATGAAGGATGTGACCTCGACCTATCATCAACTGTGGAAGTTTTCGATACCAGAAAGGATCAAACAGGTAAGAGGAGACCAATCGGCAGCAAGGGAGATGAACAATGTAACTATTTCCAACAGCAAGTACATAGAAACCAGCAAATAGCAGTTACAGGAACCGGTGCCTTCTCCCATCTCAATCGAAGATGATAAAAATGAGGAGTCATACGAATTATATCAGGTACCGAGATCTTTTCAAGTACCAGAGGATACGGATGCGACCAAATCAACCGCAGAAGAACTCGAACAAGTGGCTTTGCTCGAGAAATATTTGCAAAGGAAATTCCATTTAGGAACAGGGTTGAGTCCCGAACTCAGATTAAAACTTATAGATTTTCTTAAAGCTAACATTGACTGCTTTGCGTGTCGCATTCAGATATGCCAGGTATTCCATCGGAGGTAGTGGTTCACAAACTGAGCCTGAATCCAAACTTCCCACCGGGGAGACAAAAGAAGCGCTAGATAGCAGAGGTTAGAAACAGGTTTGTTAAGGAAGAGGTAACCCTATTACTTAACATCAGTTCGATTTGAGAGATAAAGTACCTGGAGTGGCTAGCTAATGTAGTAGTAGTAGTAGTGCCTAAAAAGAATAACAAATTTAGGATGTGTGTAGACTACAGGGATTTAAATAAGGTGTGCCCCAAAGACTCTTTCTCATTGCCAAACATTGATCAAATGAATGATGCTACGTTCGGGAACGAGTTAATGTATTTTATTGATACTTATTCCGAGTATAATCAAGTTAGGATGAACCCATAAGATCAGGATAAGACTTCTTTCATCACAAACTTTGGCGTATATTGCTATAATGTGATGCCTTTTGGGCTTAAAAATGTTGGAGCCACTTATCAGAGGCTCGTTAATAAGATATTCGAAAAACAGATAGGTAAGATGATAGAAGTCTATATTGACGACATGTCAGTTAAGTCTCTTAATGCAGGTGATCATCTGGAACATCTCCAAGAGACATTTGACATTCTGAGAAAGTACAACATGAAGCTTAACCCGGAGAAGTGTGCCTTCGGAGTTGGCCCGGTAAATTCTTAGGATTTTTGGTCTCACAAAGAGGTATCGAAGTGAAACCTGACAAAATCAAAGCTATTGAGGATATGTCGGACCAGCTAACAAGTGTTAGAGAAGTACAGAGGTTGACCGGTAGTTGGCGACTCTAAGCGAGTACATCTCAAGATTTTCTGAGAAGTGCCACCACTTCTTTTATTTTTGAAAAAGAAGAACGGATTTGTGTGGACTCCGGAATACCAACAGGCACTAAAGGACCTAAAAAGGTACCTATTAATCCCTCCGTTATTGTCGAAACTGGGGGAAGGTGAGCAACTGCTAATTTACTTAGCAATCTCAGAACTAGCAGTAAGCGTTATCTTGATTTGGAAGAAGAAGGTATGCAATTTCATGTTTATTACATTAGTAAAATATTATCAGGAGCGGAGACACGATATCCGCACCTTGAAAAACTGACCTTAGCTCTTGTAGTTGCCTCTCGAAAGTTTAGACCTTATTTTCAATGTCATCCAATAGCCATTGTGACAATCTCTCCCTTAATGAATGTCCTTTCCAAGCCTGAGTTTTCAGGTCGATTGGCTAAATGGGCAGTCGAAGTTAGTGAATTCGACATAGAATACAAGCCCAGTACTGCAATGAAGTCATAAGTTTTGGCCGATTTCAGTCAGGGATTAATGCCTTTGGCTACGAAAGAGGCAGTTCTAGTATCAGGAACGATATCGAGAATTTGGACCTTAGTTACGAATGAGGCCTCCAACGTAAAAGGGTCCTCTAATCACTCCCTTGGGGGAACCCTAAGATAGGGCATTAGAACTTTACCGTTAACTATTAATGAAGCCACGTACGAGGCTTTGGTTGCAGGACTTAAATTAGCTCGGGGTATGGGTTCTGAGGTCATCGAGATAAAGTGATACACCTAGTTGGTGGTAAACCAAGTTTATGGAATTTTCGACACAAAGGAGGAGTGCATGCAACAGTACCTGAACAAGGTTCAATCATTACTTACACAATTCCGAGAGTGGTCAATCATCCACATTCCGAGGGAGGAAAATATGGAGGCAGATGCATTGGCTAATTTGGATTCGTCCACATCGATGAAAGGATATGGTTTTGGTACGATCGTCCAGTTGTTGCATTTGGTGTTGGATGTGGATAGCTACTGTAAAGTTAATTCAACCAACTTAATTTGGGATTGCAGGAACGATTAATTGAATATCTCATACATAGTAAATTACCCGAGGACCCAAAAGCATCTCGGGCACTACGGACCAAAGCAGCTCGTTACTGTCTTGTTAATGGACAGTTATACATAAGGTCATTCCAAGGACCATTGGCTTGATGTATAGGGGCCTCATAGGCTGACTACATAATGAGGGAGGTCCATGAAGAGGTCTACAAAAACTATTCCGGTGCAGACTCGTTGTTTCTTAAGTTAGTCAGGATCGGCTACTACTGGCCCTGGATGGAACAGGATGCAAAGCCATTCGTACAAAAATCTGACAAGTGTCAATTCCATGCACAATTAGTACACCAACCAACGGAACTTTTGTATTCGGTAGTGTCACCGTGGTCGTTCATAAAATGGGGGATGGACATAGTCAGTCCCTTACCACAAGGGCCGGGGATGGTAAGATTTCTTTTGGTTTTAACTGATTATTTTACTAAAAGGGTTGAAGCAGGTCCTTACTAAAGATTGGAGAACGTGAAGTAGTTGATTTCATATGGGACCACATAATCTACCAATTTGGAATACCGAAGGAGATTGCTTGTGGAAACGGGCCAAGTTCGTACGTTCTAAAGTCATAAAGTTTTTAGAAGGATTAAAGATCAAATGAATTACGTCTTCTCCATACCACCCGAGTGCTAATGGACAGGTAGAGTCAACTAAGAAGGTAATTATCCAAAACCTTAAAAATAAGTTAGAATATGCTAAGGGCAAGTGGCCAGATGAGCTACCGGGTGTTTTATGGGTTTATCGAACCACAACAAAGTCAATCACGGGGGAAACACTCTTTTCGCTCGTGGGCGGTTTAGAAGCTTTGATACTAGTAGAATTAGGGGAACCAACCCTGATATTTTCCCGAGCAAACGAAGAAGCAAACAATGAAGCGTTGCTAGTCAAGCTAGATTTACTTGAAGAGCTCCGGAATCTGACATATGTGAGGATGGTGGCACAAAAGCAAAGAATAGAAAGGTATTACAATCGCAGGGCAAATCTCCGATATTTCAAAGTAGGGGACTTGGTTCTAATGAAAGTCACTCAAAGCACCCGAGAAGTCAACGCCGGGAAGCTAGGATCGAGATGTGAAAGACCTTACTGAGGTTCAACTATAACTGGTAAAGGCTCATACTAATTGGAAAATTAAGATAATGTTAAATTACAAAGCAAGTTGAACGTCACTCACCTCAAAAGGTATTATTGTTGAAGATCCTTGCCAGTACTGAAAGTATATGCTGTACTCTTTTTACTTCGACCAGTTTTTGTCCCAATTGGGTTTTTCTAGCAAGGTTTTTAATGAGGAATTGATGTAAAGCATACTATGAAGGAAGGATCATCGGTAATCTGGTGAATCAACAACCAAAAGTTCTGTGTGGATCAACTCATATGGAAATCAATATGTGGATGGTTAAATAATCTTTGGCTCAATAACATAACTCGTCTCCCAAGACTCTCATCAGCCTCCGATAACAGAATGTTTATCCATCCACAAGTTGTTTCCATCATTGAGGAAACAACACAAGAGCTTGCTATGAAAGTAATGTCATCGGCGGATGCAAGACCTCCAGTATTCAGATTCTCATGCTTAGCATCCGAACACTAGGGGGAATGATACATGACAAGACACTAAAAGTGTTACGAGAACTGAAGACTATTAGAACCGGGGTCGATGCCTTATCAGGACTAGGGACTGCATAATCAGTCCCGTAGAAATAAGTTATACAAGTTAGCCACATGTATTGGCAACTTTATTTTCTTAAAAAAATAAATATTTATGTAAATGTACTTTTAAATATAGAAGAAATAAATCAAAGTCATTTTGTTTTAATTTTATTTTTTGTTCGAATGATAAGTTAATTTATTTTATCATTTGAGAGTTAACAAAAACTTCAAATGCTTGTGTCGGAATGAATAAGAGATGTCCTTTTCAAAAGTAGCATAAACATAAGAGCCCTCTCTTATGAAACCTTCATAGTAAATGGTAGATTCCGGAAGTGTTTATGCCCGAAACCAAAATCTATCAGATGCAGTAATATTCCCGAGGCTTTGTCAATTAAATGAAAGAGAATACGTTTTGCACAACACTTAAGCAAAAAGTTTCTTTTATTAATTAAAGCGCCAAACTTAGTAAAAGGTTTTGGCGTAGTTACAAAAGGTAAAAGAAAAACTTTATACATCATTCCTTGCTGCCAGTACCCGAAGGGAGAGAAGGGTCTTCATTTTCCCTGGTGGAAGAAGGTTGTCCCGCTGCCGGTTCGGGGCTTTCACCTTCTTTGGTTTCCCCTTCGATTCTCGAGTACTCAGAATTAGTATTAGAAGAATCGGATGCAATAGACCGAGTAGGAAGGTTCTCGCGAGCGGTCATCTCCAGTTCCCAGACCTTAGTAATGCAATCATCGATGTCGGCAATGCCTTCTTTGGCCTCATCCAAAGTCTTCATCTTCATATGATATATGGCATATGTGTTTTCGAAGACAAGGGAATCTTCTTGGTCCTGTAGTTTTGCCCGGAGCCTA